CATCCCACCACCACCCGCCCACGAGCGGTCGCTGTCCGCCTACAGTGGGGGCAACCGGGCCAGCACGGAGTTCCTGAGGCAGGAGGACGCCCCGGCCGGCAGGCCCCACGAGGGTGCCCTGCGGGGCAGCGACACGTCCATCTCCATCCCGTCCGTGGACCACGAGGAGCTGGAGCGCTCCTTCAGCGGCTTCAGCATCTCCCAGTCCAAGGAGAACCTGGACGCCCTCAGCGGCTGCTACGCGGCCGTCGCGCCGTGCGCCAAAGTCAGGCCCTACATCGCCGAGGGCGAGTCGGACACGGACTCGGACCTCTGCACCCCCTGCGGGCCCCCGCCGCGCTCTGCCACGGGCGAGGGCCCCTTCGGTGACGTGGGCTGGGCCGGGCCCCGGAAGTGAGGCTGCCCTCCAGCCTCTCCCTGACTCCCAGCAGCCGGGTCTCTAGAGGGACCCTCTGGGGCCTCTTCCTAGAGCAACGCAGTGCGGGTGCCCATGTGGGGCAGTGGGTGGACGCAGCCCTTGGTCTCTCACACTGCAAGTTGGCAAAAATTCTTTTCCAGCAAGGGGCAGCCAGGCTGGCCGTGCCCACTCTGCAGACTGCTGGCCCCGCTGTGACGGGGGCTGGGGTCAAGGCTGAAGGCAGCCCCTGGTGGCCCGGTGGAGGCATGGGCCGGGAGCAGGGCTGGGTGAGGGTGGCAGTGAGGGGTCTCCGAGAGGATCCGCGGCCTTGCAGCCTCGGGAGAGGTGTGGCCGGCAGCACCGCTCGGGTGATGACCTTTGCCTCATGGCTGTCCCTCCAGAGCTGCTGGTCAGTGTCATCCTGTCCCCCTGTCCCAGGTTCTGAATGTTCTGTGATGGGAGCCCGTCCCAAGTCCAGGACCCTGGCCGGGCACCGCATGGGTGCACAGAGTGACCCTCAGACCTCCCGAACATGGCTCTTGTGGGGAGGGGCCCACTCTGCAGGCTCCTGGAAGAGGGTGTTTGGGGCTCCCTTCTATTTCTAGGAGACTCCTGTGTCCTCTCTGCCCTGCCCTAGCGGGCACTGGTCACCAGGCTGTGGCTAGCCTTGCAGTGTGGACTGCATGCAGGAGTGATGTGGTGGGGGTGTGGGGTCCCCCAGGCCGGGGCTCAGGCTCTGGGGTCCTGGGCCCGGCAGGTCGTGGTGAACAGATTTGCACTGTCCTTCACCAAGGACCCTGCCTTGCCTGTCCCCATCAGTCCCCTCACAGGACCTGGGTCTGGGCAGTGTGCTAACCCCCAGGGCAGTAGAGCCCCCACCCCAGTCCAGAGATTAAGGCAGCTCTGTCTTGTAGAGTGTCTCTCTTGCCCCCGCTGGAGCTCACCACCCACTGCCCCTCCTCCCCCACTGACCAGCCCCTTGGCTGCGACCTCTTGGTGTCTTGGGAGTCAGAGAAGCCCGTCCCCACACTGGGCCCTGGGGAGCAGGGATCCCCATCCCTCTAGTCCTGGGCATCTTGGCCTGAGGGGCAGCAGCTTCGAGCCGAGAATCAAACCATGGGGGACGGAGTGGAATCCCCACTCCAGCTGTCAGTGTCCTGGCGCTCTGAGACCTTTGGGGAGCAGTGTCTTCTGTAGCGTCTGCGTGTGCCCCGCACCCTGGCCAGGCCATGCAGGGTCCCACCCATGGACACCTCTCTGCTGGGGCTGCTGGCCGGGCAGCTGGAGGGTGGGCTGGGCCCAGTGCAGGAGGACCCAGGCTTGGACTCAGAACCCGTGTTCTGTGCTCAGGGCCGCAGCGTGAGGGCACCCCCTCCTTCCCAGCAGCCCAGAGGGATCGGGCGTGCAGCCTGCCATGTGGCCTGGGGAGGGGCGCCTGCTGCCCCTCCCCCTGCTGTGTCCCCCTCTCAGAGTCCTCCTCGTTCTCGAGGGCAGTGTTTCTCCAGCCCCAGACCCTGCAATGCTGAGAAAAGCCCCTCCCAGTATTGGCACGAAGAGGCCCAGGCAGAGGGCCGCTCCTGGGGTGGAGTCTGAGCCCCCTTCGCCCTCCCACTGTGGGAGGGGAGGCCCCCACCTCACCCCGGCCCCGGCTGCTGTTCTCTGGCCCCGGGGGAGAGATTCACGTTGCCAGCAGCAGCAACCCGTCCGTGTCAGACCTTGGCTGGCATGGACCCCTGGCCCGGGTAGGAGGGGTCCTTGGCCCCCGGTGAGAGGTTTGTGTCCTGCACCAGGCACCCCTGTGCCGTGGGGCCCTGGCAACGGAGGAGCCGGCTTCGACACGCCTCCTGTCCCCAGCGCCATGGAGCCGGGAGCTGGTGCCAGGCCACTGCCGGGAGGGTCTCCAAGGTTGCAGCAGGAGGGACTGAGGCTAGACTGTGGACATGCTGCCTGCAGCAAGGTGGCTATGAAGTTCATCCTGGCCCCTCTATAGGACAGGAGGCCTGCGTCTGCTTGGGGGATGGTTTGGGGGTATAGTCTGGGGAGAGGATGGGGTACAGGCTTCTTCTCAGGGGCCCCCGGACCCAGGCCTGAGCAGCGTCTGTCCGCTGCCCAGGGGCCCCACTTTTGGGAAGCGTAGGCTTCAGGAAAGAGGCTGGGCGCTCGCTGGGAAGTCGGTCCCCTTTCTCGGCTGCGGGCCCACCACTGCCCCGTGGCTGGCGCGGCACGTCTTTCCCAAGACGAGCAGGTGTGCTACCAGAGGTCGCACCCCCAAACAAGCCCTACACACACCTGTGCTCACACACGCGCCTGCAAACATGCAGCAGCTCACACTCGTGTGCACACCCGTGGGCACACATAGTGCGCATTCGCCTGCACATGCAGCGTGCATGTGTGTACCCACCCCCACACCACATGTGCACGCCGACACGCACGTGCACACATGCCCCCAAGTGTGCACACACCCCTTGTCTGACCTCTCTCTGGCTCCCCCCACTTTAAGGCAGAAGAATTAATGACTTCAGGAGCCCAGGTGATCCTGAAACGCTGGGCCCTGGGTGAGGGTCCCTGCTGTGTGGGGCCTCTGGGCGGCACTGGCAGAGGGTCCACCAGAGCCCATCCAGGGTCCCACACTGTCCTCCTCCGTACCCTCAGCTGCCCTGGTGGCTGTCTGGAGTGTTGAATCAGCCAGATGCCAAGAGCCTGGGCTAGGGCGGTCCCTGCCTCCTTAGCCTTGCAGCCCGGCCTTGGCAGCCTCTCTCTTCACCGGCCCCGCATCTCCCTCTTCTGTCCACGTGAAATCACGAGCCATGGTCTCAGCTGGGGCAGCTCTGGAGGATGGAGGACCCCAGCCAGGGGGCGGGGGTCCTCCCGGGCCTGCCCCCTGCCCACAGGAGCCCCCACCCCCAGCGGCACAGCTGTCCTTTGGGTAGAGTCACTTCAAAGCCCCGTTCAGAGGCTCTGGGAGTCCACCCCGCGAGGGGGCCACCTGGTCAGAGCAGTAAGAGGCAGCCATCGCCTCTCCCCACCCCCGCCCCACGCCCCAGCCTGGAGCTCAGGCACCAGCCGGGTGGCTCTGCACATCCTTCACGCATGGGTTGATTTTGACCCCTCCTTGCACTAGGCTGGGGTCCCCCGGCGCTCACGAATCTGAGGTGTTAAGACGGGAGGGGATGGGAAGGCATCCCCTTTCCTACCAGCCCCACGCTTGTGGGGCACCCTGGGAAGCAGGTGCCCCGCCCCTGCTGTTTGGACAGAACTTGGCCCTGGGACATTTCCAGACGCTTCCGAAGCCCCGGAGGGTGGAGGGCTGCAGGGAGGCCTTTGTAGAAACACTGGCATGTGTACGGTTTCACCCTCACCCCGAGCTGTATATAATGGGCGGAGTGCCGGATGGAGGCACCTGCCCGGTCTCCTGCTGCGAGGAAGGACGAGTTCCCGGCCCCCACGTCACAGACCCTGGAATAAACGTGGTGTGAAGAGGGCTGGTTTGACAGTGAGGACCTGCCGGGGAGAGTTTGGGTAATCCTGCACCCATGGGCGGGTGGGGAGTTCTGAGCAGCAGGTGGGGCTCCATGACGGCCAGCGCACAGTGACTCGAATCTGACACTCCTTTCCCTGGCCGATGCTGTCCTGAGTGGTCCCAAGGCTGTGGCGTGGATAACCCTGCCCTCCGTGACCCCTGAGCAGATCTCCAGGCCTCCTGCTTCTATGCACTGATGTCCAACGTCTGGTGTAGGACAGGAGGGCTGGGTGGGGCCCTGTGAGGGTAGGTTGCCTGATTGTAGCGCCCATGGAGGTGCCTGCCCAGTGTGGCGGTCCCAGGCCAGCTGCCTCCTGCGTTCCTGCCCCCAGGGGTGGGCTCCACTTGGGCTCCTGCCAAATGCTAAGTGGGAGAGACAAACAGGGAGGGCTTCCTGGAGGAGGTGGTGTGCTGGGGCCAGTAGCTGGCACCTTTCTTCTCTCCAGGGGCCAGGGGAGCCAGCTGCCCAGGCCTAGACCTTGCGTAGCCCTAAAGCATGCATGGGGGGTCCCACACTTCCCTGGGTTCTGCCGTCTTGTGAGGGATGGGGGCTGACAACAGACATAGGAAGAGGGGGTGTTGGAGGGAGGGGAGCTTAGGAAGCATGGCAGAGAGAGTGAGAAGGATGCTCCTTGGGAGGAGAGACCCCTCTGGGTTGGAGGAAGAGTCGGGTGGCCTCTTGTCGTGGACATTTGCATGGGTGCCCCTGGTGTGGCTGGGTGGCCCTGTCCAGAGAGACCCTCAGGATGGACAGATCGTGTGCTGGGAGAGGGAGGAAGGGGCCCTCCTGGGAGACGGCCCTCAGTCCTAGGGTTTCCAGGTGGGCCTGTGGAAGTCACTGCCTTAATGAATGTTGATGAAAATTCACCGAGGTCACCCCGTGCCCCCTTGGAATCCGTCAGGCACCTGCCGTCTCTGTGGTCTGCGGGACCAGCTCACAGCAAGCACAGAGTGGGCGGCGGATCTCACATCATTGCACCTGCTGGGCTCCACCCACATGCCCGCCTGGGGTCCCCCCTGTGCCCCCGGGGTCCCCTGCACCCCTAGGGTCCCCCTGCGCCCCTGGGGTCCCCTGCACCCCCATCCCATGCTGTCCTCGCAGCCGTGCCCTCTGGCCCAAAGGCGGCTGCGACCCCCACCTGCGCTGTTGCCTTGGCTGTCTGCACTTTTGTTCACGTTCATGCTCCAAAGAAAATGTCATGATGCCTTCAGTACTGACGTACACTGTCTCCCACGTGTCCCTGCAGCAGGCGCCGGGCCTCTCCTCCTGGGCGGGTCACCACCCTGTGACAGGGGATGTGCACACTGGCCGTTTTCTAGGGACAGACGCCCAGGGAAAGAACTCTAGTTTTCTACGGACCAGCTGAGATTCTCACTCAACTCACTGTCAGGTTGACGCTTGTGCCGCCAGGAGGCCCAGCGCGGTTTGCCAGGGACCGCGGGCGTAGAGACGGCGGCAGGGATGCATGTGGAGAGTTCTGCCACAGGGACGAGTTTGGATGCCCAGTGGACCTGTGCACTTAGTAAAACACAGTGATTCAACCTGAACAACGTGTAGCCTCTGTCCTCTCACGCCGTCTCCGGGCTGCGGGGTCCTGGCCGGGCTCCGGTGGGGGGGGGGCGGGGGAGGCCTTGGCCAAGGGGCTGCTGTGCTGCAGGGGGTCCCGCTTCCCAGGGTCAAGGCACTGGGCCCTGCCGGTGTGTCCTAAGAAAGGACCACAGACTAGCGGCTTAAGCAGCAAAAACTCACCCTCACCGCCCGGGGCTGGGCCTGAGCCTGTGGGCTTCCCGCCTGCGGTCTATCCTACCTGCCGCCACTGGGAGCGGCTAGGGTCCTGGACCAGAGCCCCCAGCCTGGGGCCGGGCGAGCCCTCTGGGCCCTCAGGAAACGCTGGGTCTGCCCACTCCCAGGGGTGGGCTCTGTGCACATGGGTCTGCAGTGGGTGTGGAGACCTGGAGCTCGGCGCTGGTGCCTGGCCTGGGGTCTGACGTCCTCAGAGCCCCTCCTGCTGTTCGTGGCACCTGCTTGGCCACCCCCCACTCTTTCTCTTCCGACTTGCTCCCCTCAGCTGGCCCAGCGGGGGCGGTGTGGAGAGCGGGGTGGGGGGGATAAGGCCGTCCCATCTCCCAGCAGAGGGGCCAGGCAGGGGCCCAGGGCGGGCGGGTCTGAGACTGAGCCTGTGCGGGCGGTCAGCTGTGCTGCCCTCTGGCATTTTCCCCTCCACTGGACGCTCCCTGGGACTCCTAGGGGTCAGCCCTCTGAGTAGGAAGAGCAGCTCCGTAGGGCGTGGTGGCCTGAGAGGCAGTGACCCGGCCAGGACTGGTGCCCAGACCGGCTGACCTCAGCAGGGCCCAAGGCCTGCTGCCCCACAGCCCCGTCACAGGCGATCGGGCCCTGTAGCATGGGGGTTCAAGTGGCCCTGGCAGGCTCCGACCACCACCAGAGACCTCTGTGCTGCAAGACTCCCATTGAGTTGTGGGCTGGGGTGTTCTTAGGTTTGGAGGGAACTGGGCTCCAGGTGCAGGTGGGCCCCTGCCCGCCTGCCTGGGCTGGCTGCTCAGCTCACCTCCATCCACCTGGAGCTCTAGACAGGGTCCCGCTGTGTCCCTGCCCATCTCTGCTAGAGCCGGAGGGAGGAGGGTTCCAGAGCCGCCCCAGGAAACCCCGAGCCTGTGCTGTGAGCTCTGGGGGCCCTCGGGCTCATACGGCCCTCAGACGCCCCAACAGGCCACTCTGACTAGGTTTCTCTGCAGTTCCTGGGTTGATGAAGACCTGGGGTGCTCTAGGGGTTCTCTCAGTGCCCAGTTCGTGCACCTGCCCTCCGTGCTGTGTGGAGGGGGCTGCAGTGGGAGGCAGGGCCCACCTCTGTCCTCCTCCCTCCATGGACACAGGAGAAGAATGTCCTTAATCTGCTTCCATTCAGCGGTCTTCAAACTGCTTGCCATGTTTCTCAGTGCCAATAAGTTTCTCTCGGTTTCTCTAGGAACTGTCCCCTAGGACGAGGGTTAGGTTTAGGCTTGGCTGTAATTAATAGAGAAACTCTAAGTAACTGTGGGTTCAACAGAATAGGCTCATATTTGTTTCTCAGATGGAGGCTGTCAGGATGGGTGTGGGTGCCAGGCACTCGGGACTCTCCTGTCTTACTGCTCTGCTCTACGTGACTTCCTTAGGGTCACCACAGGGCCCAGTGTGGTTGCTGGAGTCTAGCCATTATAACCGCATTCCAGCTAGTAGGAGGGAGTATGGGGAAGGAAGGCACACTGTTCCTTTAAGGACTGGTCTCTGAAGTCTCATGCGCGCACACACACAATCACGCGCGCGCTGCCTGTCCATTGTCAAGAACCCTGTCAGAGTCTGCAGGGAAGACTGGGAGATGGAGTCTGCACCAGCTGCCAGCTGTGCAGCTAGCCCGGGAATTCTACACCAAGAAAGCAGGGAAAATTCCTTGGGGAGACTCCAGCAGCCTGTGCCCCCAGGTCCACCGTGGCCTGGGTTCTGCTTCCGGCAGGCTTCACAGGCTGGGGTTGGACACGGGCCACCAGACGGCAGAATGGGCAAAGCAGTGGGGGAGGGCAGCGTCTGAGGCTCTGCGTGCTCCCGGGTGCGCGTGCCCATCCCACGTGGCCACACTATGTACCAGGTTCGCCTGGACCTGCACTGTGTCCCCGGCTCAGTGACTATCACCCTGACCCCAGGAGGTGGCAACATTCCCCAGGGGAGGCAACTGAGGCACCCCTGGTGGGAGCTAAGTGCCCTCCTGGAGGTGAGGTGGGGGCCCGCAGTGGAGCCTGGCCCCGCATAAGCAGACGCCCTGGTCTCTGGGACCGTCTTGTCCCCTGACCCCTGACCGGGTGGGCCAGACACAGAGTTGTGTCCTGCTATCACCTGGATCCACTGGCCACCTTGTCCAGCCTGGCAGCCGGAGCCAGGTGGGCAGGCGGGACGGGATGGGGGCTGGGCGTGGGGTGTGGTGAACCTTCTTCTCAGGGCAAAAGGTGGGGACTAGAGTGGGCTTGGATGCTTGAGGAGCAGTGGGGGGGGGTGCCGGGGGCTCTGGGCTCAGACAAGGGGCCACTGCAGACCTCAGGGGACCGGCCCTCCCTCCCAGAGGTGCTGGACGAGCTCCTGTCCACCAGCTCAGCCACCGCCTGCCCGCCCACCACCGCAGGGCCACTCAGGCACCTCCCATCCGAGGCCCCTCTCCCTTCCTCCCCGTTCCCGCCCCTTCCTCCCACCTGGACCAGCCTATGGGGCCAGGAAGATGACTTCCTCCCTGTGGTGTGTGAGCTCACATGCCCTCCAACCCTGTCACGCTGCCCCTGCCTGCGTGACCCCACGTCCCACCGGTGCTCTGGTCCATGGGCACCTCTGAGTGTGAGCACCGGCCAGGGAAGGGCCAGACGGGGCCGTGGTCAGGGGGTGACAGGGCACGGGGGACAGATGTGGCCAGGGCTGGGCTGTAGGGAAGCTGGCCGGAGCGCCAACCCCCCAAGTGTGCTGGGCCGCTGCACACCCCTGCTGCACCCAGATGCCACTAGGTGGCAGCACTCACCTGGAGGAGCTCCTGGAGATGGGGGACGGGGCAGCCCCGTTCCTTCCAAGGACCCATGGTTCCACCTCCAAGTGTGCCACCTCCCATCAGTGAGGTCGGCACTTGGCTCGGAAGGCTACTGCCTGTTTCTGCTGGACAGACGTCCCCAGCCCTGGCCTGGGCTCTGTGGAGCCCGGGGAAGGGCCCAAGGGGTCAAAGGGGGACCCTTGCTGTGGGGACAGCCATGGGGATGGGCTGGGAGGGAGGGGCTGGGCCGCTAGCCAGGCCCTCAGATCTCAGGACAGTAGGAGGCGCTGCTCCTCATCCCCTCGGCCTGGCTCCATGTGTCCGTCCACCTTGCCTGGTCCCTGTGCCCGGCTCCTTCTGCTGCCCCATGTCCCAGGGCTCATGCTGCCGGGTGGCCGCAGACCCAGCCCCACCTAGACCCTCAGGCCTGCAGCCCACGGGGTTCTGAGGCTGCGAAGGGTTGTTCTCAGAATTGGCCTGGCTCTGTCTGCCACAGGCCTGGAGGCCTCTCTGCAAGTGGCTCCTTCAATCATTCATCACGCATGCATTCAGTCACACGTTCACTCATTCACTAAGCAGGTCTGTGCCCGCCCCCTGGGAAGCAGCCAGAATGAGGCAGGCACGGCCGTGGGCTCACAGAGCCTGAGGCCCAGACTGCGGACCTCACTTGTGAAGCCTGACCTTCCCTGATGGCCGCTGGAGCACAGACAGTGCAGGCGTGGCAGGCGCCCAACAACAGGGCTGCGCCACATGGTGACCCCGCAGAGGGGACCGCTGGGCCAGACCACCCGAGTACCTGTCCACTGGGGCATTGCCTCCTCCCAGAGGGAAGGGCCAGGGTGATCATCTTGAGATCTGCCCAGAGGTCAAATATGTGGCCGAGATTCAGGCCTGACTGTTCGGCAGGTCGCGGGGACGTCTCACAGGTCTGGCCCCACTGCCCTGAAGGCCAGGTCAGGTTCTGGGGCCAAGCAGCAGAGGTGAGCCCCTCAGCCCCTGGGAACCGTGAGCCGCTGTGATGACAGAGGTTCTGGGCTGTGGGTCTGGGTGGACTTTTCGGTGGTGAGTTTGCCTCGGACGGTGAAGGCAAGCCAGAGTCCGGGAGGTTCTGTCCAGGGGAGGCTCTGGATGGAGGAAGCCATGGGCAAAGGTGGGCACTGGCCTCCGGACAAGTGTGGGAGCAGAGAAGAAAAGCCGGGAGGGTCGGCTCTCTTCAGGCTGGGGTTAAACTTCTTATTAAAAAGAAACATGCCAACTACAGGATGGCAGCTGTCAAAAAACATAGGAGACAACAGGTGTTGGAAGGATGCGGAGAAAGGAGGAACTTGTGCACTGTTAGTGGGAAAGTAAAAAGCTACAGCCACTGTGGAAAATGGTACGGTGCTCCTCAAAAAAACTATAATTACCATGTGATCCAGCAATTCCTCTCCTAGGCACGTACCAAAAAGAATTGAAAGCAGAGGTTCAAAGATTTATCTGTACACTCATGTTCACAGCAGCCAAATCATGGAAGCAGCCCAAGTGTCCATCGATGAATGAACGGATAAGCAAGATGAGGTCCATCCCTATGATGCAATATTATTCAGCCTTTAAAACGAAGTTAGGTCCTGACACAGGCTACAACACAGATGAGCCTTGAGGACATTATGCTGAGCCAGTCTCAAAGAGACAAGTACCGTGTGATTCCACTTACAGGAGGTTCCTAGAGGAGTCGAATTCGCAGAGACAGAGAGCAGGCGGTGGGTGCGGGGAGGCGGGTGGGAGAGTTCCTGCTTAGGGGGCCGAGTGTGTTTTGCAAGATAAGAGGCTCTGCAAACGGACAGGGTGATGGCTGTACAGCGATGAGATGTGTTTAGTGCCAGAGAACCACGCACTTAGAAATGGTTACAGTGGTTCAGCACCCATGTATGAGTCAAACTCACCAGGAGGCGGGCATAGAAGGAATGCACTTCAGCATAACAAAGGCCACGCGTGGCCGCCCACAGCTAACATCACACCAGAGGTGAGAAGCTGAGAGCATCTCCTCTGAGATGAGGAACAAGACAAGGGTGCCCACTCTCACCACTTCTAGCCAACATGGCACCGGAAGTCCTCGCCGCAGCAAGCAGACGGGAGAAAGAAAGGGAAGTTCTCCTGATTGGAAAGGAGGGGTTGAAACTGTCACTACCTGCGGATGACACGGCGTGACACTGTACGTAGGGAGCCCTAAAGATTGCACTAAAAACCTAGCAGAAGCACTAAATAAATCCAGTGAATTTGCGGGGTGTAAGATTAGCATACTGAAATCTGTTGCATTTTACACACTAACAACAAACCGCCAGAAAGTGAAGGTAAGAGAACAACCCATTTACAATTGCATCAAAAAGAATAAAATACCCAGGAATGTACTTAACTAAGGAGGTCAAAACCTGTACTCAGAAAACTGTCAGACACTGTTGGAAGGAACTGAGGATGACACGGACAGATGGAAAGACACATCATGCTCATGGACTGGAAGAACTAATATTATTAAAATGCCCGCGCTCCCCAAGGCAGTCCACGCCGTCAATGCAGTCCCTACCATATGCCAATGGCATTTTTTACAGAACTGAAGCAAATACTCCTAAAATTTGTATAGAACTACAAAACACTCTGAATAATCAAAGCAACCTTGAGAAAGAGGAACAGAGCTGTAGGTCTCCCATTCCTTGACTTGAAACTATGCCACAAATCTGCAGCCATCAAAGCAGTGTGGGGCTGGCCAGACGCAGGCACAGTGCTCCGGGCTGCAGAACAGTGGCCAGAGACAAGCCCACACCCTCGCGGTCCCTTAGTCTGTGACAGAGGAGGCAAGAACACACGATGGAGAAGCGACAGTCTCTTCAGTGGCGGTGCTGGGAAACGGGACAGCTGCCTGTAAAGGAATCAGACTGGACTACATTCTCTCACCATATCCGAAAATACACTCAAAGTGAACTAAAGGCTTAAATGTAAGACCTAACACTATAAAAATCCTAGAAGAAAACATAGCAGAATGCTCTTGGACATCGGTCTTAGCCATATGTTTTTCATCTTTCTCCTCAGTCAAGGGAAGCAAAAGCAAAAATAAACAAATGGGACTACGTCAAACAAAAAAGCTTGTGCTCAGCAAAGGACGCCGTCAACCAGGCGCAAAGGCAGCGTGCTGACCGGGAGAAGGACCCCGCAAAGCTGCGGCAGGCAAGGGGTCGGTGTCGGACACACGAGAGCTCGTGCAATGCGGTACGAGAAGCAGCCAGTCTGGCTTAAAGGGGAGCAGAGGCGCATGAAAAGACCCTCAGCACCGCCGACCATCAGGGAAGCGCAAACCAGCAGCACAGTGGGACCCCACTCACAGCCTTCAGAGCGGCCCCCCAGCACTCCAAGGTGGCTGCCCCCTCGGGCCACCCCCACGCGCTCCCTCCTCCGCGCCCGCAGAGCCTCTGGTTCCTCCAGGTCCTCCTCCGCTCCTGCCTCCTCCTTGCTGACAGCTCCCTCCACGCCCCAGCCGTCCTTTCCGGGGGCTCCTTCTCTGAGCCCCTGGGTCTTCCCAGGGCCAGGTCCCTGAGCCTGGGCGCTGAGCCCTGCAGGCTGGCTGGGTGGGGGTAGAGACCAGGAAATTCCTGAAATCTGGGCACTGCTGCGTCCCCAGGAAACCCTGCCCATAGCAGCCGCCATCTGCTGTTACAAGATGCAAAAACGTAATTTCTTTTTCCACTTAAAAGTGAAATGGGTTAGGACAAGAAATTGTGCAGAAGGAAGTACAGCTGAGGGTGCTGGCACGTGGCTTTTTCTCAGACACCGCTACTCGGAAAATGCCTGTTGGTCTTCAAGGATGACCTTGAGACCGGCTGGGCTGGGCAGGGGTCAGCCTCGGGTGGCCCTGGACAGCCCCTCCTGCCTAGAGTGAGCCGGGTGGAACCACCTCAGTGCTGCAATGGGCCAGCGGACAGAGAGGGTGCTGGGCCCAGGACTCACGCTCCCCGGAGTCAGAGACCACGTGGTCAAGAGCATCTATGGAGCACCTGCTGAATGCATCCTTTGCTTCCTGCACTTGGTGGGTGGTGCAGGGGAGAAGGCGTGGCCATGCCCTGAGCCCCTCAGGGACCTACCAGACGCAGGGGCCTGTTGGGAGCTCTGACAGTCCAGTGGCTGGTCTGTGCTGGCTGTGGCCCTACTCCAGACGCCTCCTCCCTCAGCCCCCCAGCCCAGGAGCTGGAGAAAGCAGCTCAGCTCTGTCCGCTCCGCCAGCCGGAGCCAGACAGCTGGGGCTGGGACTCCCTCCTTGACATTCAGAGCTGCTAATTTTTCATTGCAGGGTGGGTTTGACATTTGCATTGGAATCAGTCTGTGTTAACTTCCTCCCTGAGGCTGGTGCAGAGGCCAGATCCTCCTGGCTGCCCACACCGCCTTGAGGAGGCTCAGGCCCCACCACCCAGGTGCTGCAGGTCACCCGGAAGCTCCGGCCTCCACCCAGCCCTGCCCCCGCCCTGAGCTCAGGACACGGCTGCCCGTCCTTCTCTGGCCGTGCTCCAGGGCGGCCTCCTGCTTCAGGGCCCCACTGAGCCCTGGTCCTGGGGCCGTCTCCCCTGGCGAAGCCCGAACACACCCGCTCACCATTGCCGCAGCGCGCAACCCCCTTAGGTCAGAGGTGGCTCCATTCTTTCCTCCCCAGCCCAGCGTCAGCACGAGGCAGGCGTCCCCACAGCCCCCAGTGCAGCCCACCGAGGTGCGGGTCCCTGCAGTGCCTCGGCCTGCACGCTCCACCACCCTCCCCAGGGTTCTGCAGTGCACACACCGGGATCAGAATGGGTGCCTGCCAACTCCCGGGCGCGGAGGTCTCCCCTGTCTGGGAGCAGGAGCCAGCTGGACGCTGGAGGCTGAGGCTGTGGGTGTGCTCGGGGGAGCCCCTCTGGGCCTCAGGAGACTTCCCCTGGAGGCACCCAGCCCCATGCCAGCCTCGCCTCTCTCCAGGCAGGCGGAGAGTGGGGCTGGGGTCTCTGGCTTGGGGTTGGAGGGAGAGGGCTGCCTAAGGAGAGGGAATTAGGTGGGTGCAGAGCAGGGCTGCCCGAAGGCCTTGCAGGTGGGGGTAGGCTGGGACGGAGCCCTCTGCTGAGGGGCCAAGACCGGGACACCCCTCCCCGAGACCCCAGTCCAAGACAAGTCCGCCTGCTGGAGTTAGCTCTCTATTTGCCACTTGGCCTGGGCTCCCAGGTCCCCGCACCCCCTCCCCATTTAGGGGAGGAAACCGAGCTCTGGGAAGCCAAGTAACCTGGCTGGAGGAGGCCCCGGGAGACGGCAGGGTGGGTCTGAGCGGCCCTGCCCTTGAGCCCGGTTCCCCTGACTTCCCGGAGGGCCGCCCCAGCGGTGTGGTGGGGCAGATTGTTTTCCGGAAGAATGTGTCTGTGGGGTCTGAGGGGGTTCCCGGCAGGCCTATGCCTGTCTCGGGGCTGTGGGTCTCTGCCTTTGGCCAGCCAGGCCATCCCTCAGGACCCAGAACTTGAAGTCAGCAGAGCGGGGGAGGTGGAGGAGCCCAGCTGGGGTTGTGCGAGGGGCCTCGGGGCCCGGAACCACCCCCTTCCCCGCTGTCCCCCTCCTCCAAGGGCCAGACTCCGCGCGGACGCCGCCTGCGTTCCTCCGTCTGCGGCTGGGAGACCCACCCCCGGGCTGGAGGGAACCTGAGATGCCTCCCCTGTGCGGTGCTGACGGGCACCCCAGGCTGTAGCCTCCTCAGGGAAGGGGTCCCTGTCAGAAGGGAGGAGGGGCTGGTCTGGAGCCCCCAGCCCAGAGCCTCCCTACGAGAATGCTCAGAGCCCAGGAACCATGGTTGTTTACGTCATGTGAGCCGGCAAGACAGGGGTCATCCAGGGACGGCCACACCACCTGCCACGTGCTCCTCGCACGCGGGACACTGGCCTCTGGAGCCCAGCCAGGGCCACACGGGGCCCCCAGGAGGCAGCTCTAGCCGACAGCCAGCACCAGCACTGACCTGTGAGTGAGGCCTTCAGACGCCCCCAGCCCCGGGGAGGCCCGGATGCCAGGGGCAGAGACCTGTGCCCCCTGGGTCCTGTCCGGAAGCTTGGTCCTTCAGAAACAGGGCAGATGATAAACAGCGTCATCGTTTTCAGCCATAGGTTTTGGGGCAACTTGTGCAGCAGAGGATGCACAAGCACACATCGCAGGGCGTGCAGGATGCGGACCCCACCAGACAGATCTGCGGTTATGTCACCACTTGGGGAGTGAGCCACGGCACAGCGAGGTGGCCGGGCCGACTGCGAGGGGGGCCCCGTGGCCAGACCCCTGGCCAGGCAGGCACCCACCGTCTGCTGGGACCATGTCCAGTAGTGGCCGGACATCCCCCCAGGGCCGAAGGGGGCATGGCTGCAGAGGACACGAAAATAAATGATTTCTGTCAGACAGCAGGAAGGGATCAGGTGAATATTTCCTGTGCTTTTAAAAAAATTTGGATGCGAGAGGCCTCTGCTCTTCAGACAGCCCTGGGGGCACTGACAGGGCCGGTGATGTGGAAACCGGCAGGCAGGCCACAGCGCTAAGCCCTGCCTGTCACCCACCCACTCCCCAGGGCCGGGAATCGGGTGTTTCTGGCTGCAGGGCCCTCCTTGAAGGGAGTTTCCAGGTCAAGGGCAGACTGGACATCCCGGTGGGAGGGGCCTACCTGGGTGACAGCTAACGTGGTGGCCTGGGCCAAGGGTCCAGCTGCCCATTTTCCCACATGACTTGGGGGCCAGGGCTCAGATCACAGGGGTCTCTCAGGTCCCGGAGACCCTCACTGCTGGGGATTGCCTTCCCTGTGAGCAGATGGCGGATTCCTGGTCCTGCCCAGCCCCTTCTGTCCCATGTCACCCGGGGCTGGCGGGAGTCGGGTCCCTGGGGGGGCCGTGCTGCCCTCCCCCTGCAGACAGGGCCTGAGCTCAGACCAGGAGGGAGTCCCAGCCCCGGGACAGCCGCCCTCCCATCTTGACAAGGCCGGGAGGGCCCATCTCTGGTTCACTCACCTTCCTTCCAAGGGCCCCACTGACTCTGCCCAACACATGCTCTTCAGCACAAGGGCACAGAACACCTGGGGGGCTGGAGCCCCATTTTAAAGATCAAATAGAGGACCACCACCGCCACCACCCACCCCGGGGCCACCAGCACCCGGGAGGTGTCCAGCAGGAGGTGCTGTGGGGCGGCGCGCTCCCAGTTCTGCTGGGGGCTTGGTGCTGCCTGGGGTGGGCTGGGTCAGCGTCTCCCACCAGCAGCCCTTCCAGAGGGAGCATGTCTGCAGCTGCCTTTCCCAGGAGGGGAGGACGAGCCCCAAGAGCCTAGTGGGAAAACCCGTCTTCCTCCCTGACTTGACACTGACTTCTGCTCCACTGGCGTCCAACCTGAGCCAGACCACCGCTCGGGAGGAGAGGACACGGGGTCTCGTTGCAGGGCCGCCCCCAACAGAGGGTGCTCCCCAGGTCAGCCCTCCCCTTGGCGAGGGGGAGCCCCCTCCACACTGTCATCCCCCAGGAAGCACCTGTCCTGTCCGGCCTTGCAGGGGAACCTTCCCTGGCTCACCAGGCAAGGCTTGAAGGGGAGGGGCTGGTGCACGGAGCAGGGCCCCTGGGGTCACGCAGGAGGCGAGGGCAGGGGCTGGGGGGGGCCGGCTGCTCCCTCTCCGTCTCCTGGTCTCTCTGAACTGAGCCATCCGTCCACGGAGGCCAGGCCAGGCCAGACGCTCTGACTGCTGGGGTCACGTCTCTGTGTCTGCCTTTCTCTTCTGTCTCTGGTGACCGTCAGGGCCACTGTGGAAATGAGGATGACTCCCTTCCCGAGACACAAATGAGTTCGAGACTCGGCTCGGACGACCCAAAATACGGCGTTTCATGTCCAGAGGGCCACCGTCCCACCAGCCCCAGTGTCCCGGGCCGGGGGTTGTGGGGGGACAGGTGGCTCCCTTTCTTGTTCCCCAAGTCAGGCAAATTCCAGCAACTTCTGTGGGCCGAGAAATGTGCATCAGAAACACTGATTTCACTACCAAAAATTGAAATGCAGAACCTGGTGTGTCTGAGATGACACTTGTTATGCAAAAGCCTGAGGGAAGAGCCCCCACGAGCTTTCCGGTTGCCGTGGTCGTGGGCCCAGCAGGACGGAGGCCCCTGGCTGGATAACAGCTGTGCGTGTCCCATCTAGGACCTGGGCGGCCCCTCTGCGGAGATTTGCTGCCCCCCGCGGCCCGGCCTCTCTGCTGGGCCCTGGGTCTCTCCCAGGTGCTGGAAGACTGTGCGCCTTGCGTGCCTTGCCGCGAGGGGGCGCCTGCCAGACAGAAAATCAGCTGCTTCAGAAGGTTTTGGGCACCAGGGCCGACACTGCCCCCAGCAGGGGTGGGAGGCCTCCCACTCCCCATTTACCGGCAACCTTCCCAGGCTCCAAGCAGCAGGAGGGAGCAGATGCGGGAGGCTCCTGCCTTGACCCTACAGGGACTCGGGGTGAGAAGAGGGCAAGGGAGGGCTGAGGCCGGCCGAGCACCTGGCCTTCCTCTCCCGGACACGCCCTGCTGGGACACTTCTCATCGGTGTCTTCTGTCTCCTAGAGGCGGGACGTGGTTTTCACCAGTCAGCAGGACCCCTCTCACACTGTAGCTGAAAGGGAAGGTTTCCTCTCTCTGGGCCTCAGTCTCCCCATCTTCCAGGCGGCTCTGGAATGACTGAGGTCTCGGACCTGAGGTAGGAGGCGCAGCTCCGTGTCTGCAGGAGGCACGTTTGGTGTCATAGTGCGCCCCTCAACTGCCTGCTCTTGTGAGCTGTCCAGGTCAGGGCCTGCGCCTTCAAAGAGCTCACGGTCTGATGAGATGTGACCAGCAGAGCCACCCGCTGGTTGCTATGGAGACACACTCGGGCTGGGGGCTGGGGGATGGGCCGGGGAGGGTCTCAGATGAGCTGCTGAAAGATGAATGAGTTTTTGAGCCCAGCAGGGCGAGGAGGAGGCGGGGGAGAGTGTCCCTCTGGGATGGAGGAGAAAACCCCACACACGAGGTCACTCAGCTTGGCCCTCACCAGGCACCTCCTTCGTAAAAACCTCAGCAAAGCTGTCGTCTTTGGGCTCAGGCCACGCTGTCTTCTCCCTGGTCTATGTGTGTGGACAGAGCCGCGGTGATGCCTGGTCACCTGCCACCTCCCACGTGGAACTCTGCACAGACGCCTGCGCTGGAGAAGCATGGGTGCCCCGGCTGCCAGCGAGGCCACACGCTGAAGCGTCCAGGTGCCAGGCCTCCCTACCCACCCCCGAGACGGGTCCTCCGCGGCTCCAGGCCT